GTGTGGGCCCAGGCCTGTGTTGCAGAGCTCCAGCAACAGATGACCTTGTCCTCTTTGTTTCCCTTCTTTTATTTTTTTTTCTTAAATTTTTATGGCAGAGCCTCTTAGGGCTTGGTTGTTTCTTTAAGAACCGCATATCTGAGTTGAACAGTGGAGCCCAGGTTATTTGTGGCTGGAATTCGATTTGCTTCTTGGATCTGATTAAACATTTAACTAAAAGCAAACAGGGAAGCTCTGCTTTTGTGTCAAGGTAGCCTATGAACCAGAAACCTGCCAACAGTGCTTGCCTGGTACCTGGCCAGGCCGGGAACCTCGCCTTCCACGCAGAGAGCCTGTCTTCTCTCCGTGCTCTGTGCAGGATGCAACTTCGCCAAGTAACGAACCAGATATTTCTGTTGTAGCAGTGTGTGTATTTCTGTATTTCTTCCTTTTTTTTTTTTTTCTTTTCCATCCTCCTTTTGGCCTTTTGTGCTTTTTTTTGCAAAGTCACTGTCCCAGGCTGACCTTTGTCCAGCTGTTCCCTCTCCGGTTTGCTCTCCTGCCCCTTGAAATCTTCTCTCCAGTCAAAGTACAGCGCTTTCCCCGCATGAGCGTATCTCTGGGAGCAAAGTGTACCATCCCCCTTCAGCGGAGCTGTAGGGCACAAGGTGACACAGCCGGGCACTAAGGCTTTGTCCCATGGTGGCCTCTCCCCTCTTCTCCCAGAGGAGGTGGGTTGGGCTGTCCATACCCTTCTTTCTGTGGGGTCTTGGGCTGGGGGAGCTGCTGTGCTCTGTCCCGCTTGTTCCCCTCCCTGGGCTAACCTGAGGTTTGACTGTTTTGGGGTCCCCAGGTCCAGCGCAGCTGCGAGGTGTCTTCCTGCACACGGAGCACGAGCAGAGGAAGTCGAAGACGGTCACACAAGCCGACATGAAGGTGGAATTACTCCCGGCCCTCACAGACAACTACATGTACCTCCTCATTGATGAGGAAACAAAGGAGGCTGCGATAGTTGATCCTGTGCAGCCCCAGAAGGTAATGCTGTCGGCTGCCCTTGTGAGCAGGCTGCTCACCGCTGCGGGGCTGGGAGATCCTTCCAGGTTGCCACATCCACGAGGCAATTAGTTACACGCTGGCTCAGGCGTGGGGGGAAGTCAGGAAATCCTGGCCGTGCATCAGGAGCTTCGCAGGCAGTCTGCTTCTGGGCTCAGGCAGCTTCTCCCTGACTTCAGGCGTTACTGACCTGATTTGGGGTTTTGCCCTTAGTTGGGTGTAGTGCAGAAAAGAGGAAACGGGGCTGAGGGCTTAGTGCTGGCTGGCTGGATCAGAGACCTCGTGTTGCGATCTGCTGCTGCGATCTGGAGAGGGCTGAGCTCTCCGCAGAGTTGCTGGCGCGGCTCTCAAACCTTGGAGCAGTTGGGTCCGGGTTGCACCAGGCGTGCTGTGAAGTCGTTGCACGCGAGTCGTAACGCTCTTGCCGTGCCCTGTGCCTGCAGGTTTTGGATGCAGTCAAAAAGCACGGCGTGAAGCTGACCACCGTCCTGACCACACATCATCACTGGTAACTACCTGCTGTCGTGGGATCCCTCTGCCCCCTGCATAAACACAAGCAGTCAAGGATTGTTGCTTTCTGGATCAAGTTGGTTTTCTCTCGGCTGGAGCTTGGGTGTGAGGAGAAGGATCAGCGCTCAGGAGGTGTCCCTTGGGCTTGCTATGACCAGATGTGTTGTCTGGACTGCAAGCTCTGTGTGTCAGTGCCTTTAGCCTTTAAAATGCTGACTTCTTGCGGTGAAATAAATGTGTGTGAAGGTGGCTGTGGAGCGCGGGACAGGGCGCTCTCACTGAGTGCTAGGACATGCCTGGAAGGCGTGCTGCTCCCAGTCAGCGCTTGTGGGAGGATTACCAGTGTTGCAGATTAACTCTGCCAGGGAGGTAAAGATGAATGTTTTGCTTTGGCAGTTTTGTAATGCTGAACCTGAGCAACCTCTCCCGTGGGTCATGGTGGAGCCACCTCTGTGGCTGGAGAGCCAGCCCTGACCTGGCAGGACCAGCACGGCAAGTGATGGCTGAGCTGTTGGACATCTGTGTGCCTGCTCCACAGTGTCTTGTGGGACACTGAATTACACATAGACTGGTTATCCTGGTCTCTTGCTGCCCTCGTAACTGAAGAGTTGACTGCCAGCCCGTAAGGCTGGTGTTTCCCAACTAGGTGTGAACTTGTGGGGGGTGGTTCCCCCCCTCTCACTGCCCTAGTTACTGGAGAAATTATCTCCACTTGTGTTGATGTGGCATTTCCTTTGAGATGAGGACAGCGTTAGGTACTGGGAGAACAGTTGATCAGAAGCGATCGCCTGGAGGTGACCGTCGCGATATGGGTTGCGATAAATTTGTCTTCATCCCCGCCCAAGTCCGTTTTTCTGGCCTTCCAGGGACCACGCTGGAGGAAACGAGAAGCTGGTGAAGATGGAGGCGGGGTTGCGCGTGTACGGGGGAGACAGCAGAGTCGGAGCGCTGACGCAGAAAGTGTCTCACCTCACGTCGCTCAAGGTAAAGGGAGTGAGCTGCAGGACGCGGCTGGGGGCGTCTGCTGCTTGTGTCACAGCTTTAGAGCTGGACTGGTGTGGTCCAACTTGAGTTGGTGTTGCGGTCACAGCTCTTTTACCGACATCTCTTGGATGTGGTTGGTAGTTTAAGTACAACTTTCACCCTTTCCCAGCCCCGTGAACCGTAACCCCTCTGTCTTGTTTTGGCCGGTGATGCTTCGTTGATGAGGACATTGGCATGGATCTGACACCTGCATTGCCTGGGGCGTGCTGGGTGTCCCTGTGCTCCTTGACAGCTACCTGAACTGGGGTGGTCAGAACCCCCGTGTGAAAGGACAGGCCTTGTGCTCTGCTTAGAGCCTAGTGAGCCCCGAAGCCATGCAAGTGGTCCCCTCTGCATGCAGGCTGCAGTAGGGGGTGAGGAGAAAGCTGGCCAGCAGGGCCAGCTGCCTGCGTGGCTTTTCCAGAGCTAAAGCAGCAACCCTGGTTGGAACCGAGCTGTGTGTTTACAGACAAGCTGGCAGGTGACGTGGACGGCTGTGAAACGTGCAGGCTGGCATGAATGTCGCTGTGAGGCTCGTGGTGCACCTTTGGGGGGGTGTGTGGGGGGTGTCAGCAGCAAAGAAGGGAGCCCAGAAATACATGGGAAGGTGTGCAGATTAGGGCCGTGGAGGAAACGTCCCCTTGGCCTCATGAATGCGTTTAATCCTTCCCTTTTCGTGAGTGTCGTCCGCTTCTTCCCTTCAGCTTGGTTTTTGTTTGGAGCTTTTCACACTCGATTAACTCTGTTGAGGATTTTGTGTTGCTCTGGATCTGTTTGCTCTTGCTGCCAACGAGACGCTGAGTCACTCTGCATGTAAATGAAAGAATCCTGCAGTTCTCTTTGTCCTCACACCTGCTAGGAGGAAACAGCTCCCTTCCAAGTCCCTGCCGTAAAACCCTCTTGCTGGACTCTCCCAGGAGCAGAGCTGGTCTTTACTGGCCGGCTCTGAGAGTTTGCCTGTGGGACTGCTGGACCGTTGTAATGGTTGCAATTCTTTTCTAACCGTACGCCTGCTAGCACAAACGGTCGCTTCAGCTCGAGTCTTCTGCCTTCTTCTCAGGTGGGATCTCTTAATGTGAAATGCCTCTGTACGCCGTGTCACACTTCTGGACACATCTGTTATTATGTGACTAAGCCAAATAGCTCCGAGCCACCTGCTGTTTTTACAGGTGAGGAGTTGGGAGGTAACCTTGCCGGCAGCCTGCCTTGCAAAGACGTAAGCGACCCCTCTGCCTGTGTGCTCCTGACTCGGAGGCGCATTCGTCCCTTAGGGCCAGCCCAGCCGGTTAGCATCCACGTCTTGCCCCCTTACCGAGTGCTGCCGAGTCGTGATTGTAGATGAAACCCCTCTGGGTTTGTAAACCGTTGCTGGACACCCCGCAAGCGGCATCAAGAGCGAGCCCTGGATCCTCCTTGTAGCGTTTTCTTCCTTGAAACAAGAGCTGTTGGTTTACTGCCGCGGGCCAAACCGTGGCTGATGCCCAAACCCGTTGCTTTTCCATAGATCGGTGCTCATGTCTGTAGCAAAACTGAGAGAAGAGAAAATGGGGGAGTAAGAGAGGGCTGGTGCTCCGGCTCTGATAGCCGGGTTCTGGATCCCGTGTTGGAGAGCAGGGTTCCCCCTCCCCAGTCTCCCCAGGCTGCCGTGCCATCCCGCTCCTGACGGGCGTTCTCCAGGGCTTGCACCAGCTGCTGCGTGGAAGAAGGAACGGCTTAAGCAAGATTTTAGGGAGCACTGGGGAGAAAACGCAGAGGTGACTCATCTTTGTTCAGCTTCCTAGCAAAGAGAACAAGTGTTCCTTGTCCGCTCTAGAAAGGACGAGAGGGGACAGCAGGCTGCCCGCAGGCAGGGGCGCGCTGGCACGCTTTGCCTGGCGAGGCCGCGGGGTTTCCTGCGCTAGAAGCTGCGTTTGCTGCGTGGGTTCGTGTCGCCCTGAGCCCGTGCGGGGCAGCGGGGTGGCCTGGCTCTCCCCGTGCCTTCTGCTGAGCTGCGGCGAGGACAGCAGTGGCAGGACCGAGCCCTCGGGGACCCCGTGCTCACGCTTTGGTGCGAGGAGCCTTGTCCGGTCCTCCTGATGCCGTGCCACGCCTCCCTTGCAGGTGACACGCTGTTTGTGGCTGGTTGTGGGAAGTTCTTCGAGGGAACCCCGGAGGAAATGTACAGAGCGCTGATTGAGATTTTGGGCGGCTTGGACCCCGAAACGGTATGAACCTCTCCTTTGTGCTAGTGAGTTAGCCGGCCAGAAACTACTGCAGACCTCGGGGAAACTGTCTTCCCGATAATACTGTTGTTCAAAGAGGGAATTCCTCGGTGTGTTGAAGGAATGAGTGCTTGCATCAGGAATTGTCTTTGGTGCTGAATGGCTGGAGTCCTCTGGGAAGGCAATACCTGCCCCAAAGACATTTGTGCTTTGTGGGGAAAGCGTAGGGGCTGCTTATTAAGACAGAGGCTAGCGAGCTGGGATGCCTGCGCTCTTCCCTCAGGCTTGCTGTTACGTCGGCAGACGGTGCTGGCTGGTAACTCCTGGCGCTTCCGCTCCGCCTGTCTCCAGTGGAGAGTGTCAGGTGTCCTGGAGGGTTGACTCTGTTGTTCCTGCTGTACCGTGGCATCGATGACGGTACCTGGCCCTCCACCATTGTACCTCCTGAGTTACCCGGTGTCACTCCTCCTTTCTCTTCCTAGAGAGTTTACTGCGGTCACGAATACACGATCAACAACCTCAAGTTTGCTCGACACGTTGAACCCAACAACGCCACTATCCAGGAGAAGCTTGCTTGGGCCAAGGTAAGCTGGTTCGTCCTCCCCCTGGACTTGATGCTTTCATGGGGGCAGAGCCTCTCTGAGGAGCTGAAGACAGCGCTGGGGAGAAAGAGGGGCTGAAGGGAGGGAGCCAGGAGCCAGGAGCTGCATCCAGGGGAGCGATGTGTGCGGGAACGGGGTTTGTGTGCGGCCCAGAGGAGGCGGTTTGCTGCCTGAGGGAGGTGGGACCCTCCCTGGACACTTCGTGGTGTAATTACAGGCTGATGTCTGTGTCTGGGAGGGTCAGCTCTGGCCCAGGCCTCTCTGTGTGTCCCTCAGTGTCTGTCTGTCCATGTGCGTGGCGCGAGGGGCGGCTCAGGCAGTTGGGTGCGGCGCGGTTACACGCAGGACGTTTCTCACTCGCCAAAACGTTCCTCATCGAGCCGAGATCTCTCCGTGGTTACAGGCGAAGTACGACAGCGGGGAGCCAACCATACCCTCCACCATCGCTGAGGAGTTCACGTACAACCCCTTCATGCGAGTGAGGTGCGGAGGGGATGCGGGGCTGGGAGGGGTCCTTGTGTTGGGAGGGGGCGTGTGGGAAGGGGGTCTCCAAAGCACGCCGCGAGTGGGAGTTGCTCTCCTGCCTCCCGATGCCCTCAAGAGCCTCCTTAACACGTGCTGGCTGTTCCGGCAGCAGCGTGCTGCCGTGGGCTTGGAAGCGTGGCGGCCAAGTCCCTGGGGGCAGAGCAGGAGTCCTGGTGGAATTACGTCCCGCCATGGAGCCGGCGCGGCGAAAGGTGCCGTGCGAGCCCGGAGAGCGTTCGCGATTTCCTCCTGCCGGCGAGCGTTCGCGCCGAGGGAGCCCCTCAGCCCCCGCCAAAGCCCCCAGTCTTTGATCTTTAGGTGCAACGTTTCCCCTCGATGCAGGCGACACGCGACGGTAGTGACTTGGTAGCTGAGGTTTTATCTTG